ACAGTGAACACTTGAGTGTGGCCTGTGCAGGGCTGTCTGCAGGTGCCCTTGTCTGTTACTGTCTGGAAAGTGGAACTTTTAAAGTGAATTGTACCTCTTAAGCTTTACATTACTCTTACTATAAATGTTGTAGCTCATTCAAATTTTCTGTTTCACTGTGATTAAAATAAGTGAAAACCAATGTGTCAGTTCTCTGAAAGAAAAATTAGAAATCTAGATTGAACTATTTTGTGTTGTAAACTTTTTTGCTAAAGTAATATACTTGTTAAAGCCTTCAAAATATCCATAAAAGCAAAAATGAACCAGTATGGACTTTGTTTTTTGCATTTTAACACCCTGCCCTGTCCACCAGGCTTGCAAAGCACTGAGCGTTCTGGCTGTGCATTCAGTCTTTGCTGCTCTCCTCACGTTCTTTGCTCCAGCCTTCCTCTCTCTGTCAATTTTCTTTCACCTTCTGACATGCATAGGTCAAAATTGTCTTTAAAGATACTCTTATCTCTCAATAATTCATTTTCCATCTTCTCCACTATGAGGTGACGTTTTCAGGTAAGTGTGCCGTACTCAGTCTCCCCACTGGGGCTCACTGTTTATGTAGTAGTTTTGAACTTGACTCAGTCTGTGGAGAGACTTCTTGAAGGTCACCACTTCCTTTTTTCCCAGTCTGTAATTATGGTCCCCTCTTTCCCCATTAATCTCCTGGGACTGTCTAAAAGGAAACTTGCTCTTTCTGTCCCTCACTGTCACATTGCCCCAAAATCTCTCATGATTTTACTGTTTAGGAAATAGCTCAGGAGGTTGAAGTCTTTGCTAATTTTCACATCATCGGGTGGCAGCACTGTGGTCAGAGCCATGGTTTGGTGCCACTTCTGAAAACTATGCTCTTGTAACTCCACTGAGTACTTGCTTCTTTTGGTCATTCAGGGATTTGTTTTGAATTTGTTTTTGTTTTGTCTTGTATTTTTGTTTGATATATTGCGTGTAAATGTACGTATGCAGTTTTTAAGTTTTTTAAAACTGGGTCTTACATTGTAGTCTTAGCCAGCCTAGAACTCACTGCGTAGCCTAGGTTATCCCTGACTCTCCTGCCTCAGCTTCCTTGGTATTGGGATTATAAGATAAACCACTACACTGGACTGACACTGCTCTGTGTGCATCCTTTATTAAATCACAGTCTATTAGATTCTGAGACATTCTTCTGTCATCTTCCTTACCTCTGATATTTCTTGTTCAGTGTCTTTAATCTTTATCCATTTATTTTGTTTTTAACTCCTACTGGGGACAACCATGCATATAGGTTTTATTTTTAATATAATATTTTGTAATTCTTTGAGGATTGTATGTATGCATACCATTCAGTTTTATCACATTCCCCGACTCCTCTAACTTCCCCACATCCACCTGCATTCCCTTCCAACTTTGTGTCCTTCTTTATTTTTATTTATTTTGTTTGTTTGTTTATATGTATTGGTGTTTTGCCTGTATTTATGTTTGTGTGCCACATATGCCAAGAGGCCAGAAGAAGCCACCAAATCCCCTGTTCCTAAAGTAGAGAGTTGTAATCCACCATGTGGATGTTGGGAGTCCAACCCTAGTCCTCTGGAAGAGCAGCTAGACTTCTTAAAGGCTGTGCTGTCTCTCCAGCTCTGTCCTTTGATTTTTATGTTTTCTATTTAATTAAAATATAATTTCATCATCACCCCCCATACCCCTCCCATTCCTCCCCCTCCCTCTCAAATTCTAGGTGCTTTTTCTTTCATTATTATTGTTACACGTATAGTGATTGCCTCATTTTTCCACTCTATCTTGTTAGTAGTTAATTGCCTCTGAAATCTTTCTAGTTAATTCATCATTACTTCAACCACCACCACCACCACCCCTGTGTCCCTCGCCTACCCTCATTCTCTCCCTGGTTCCCTTGCTCATCTTGGAATCAAGCCCAGGGTCCTGCATACAGTGAACAAGTACTATAGCTCTGAGCTCTTCCCAGGCCTTACCACCCTCATTGTGTGTTTGGAGGCAGGGTCTCTCATACCCCATATTAGTCTCAAACTGCTTGAGCTCCTAATCCTTCTGTCTCCACCTCGTGAATTCTGAGATTCCAAACATGTACTGCACTCCTAATTTTTGCTTATCTGTTTGTTTTTATGTGGTACTGGAGATAAAACCTCATGTATGCTAGACAAGCGCTCTTGAGACCAACTGAGTTGCAGCTCCAATCCGTCTTTTGTTCTGCTGTAGCCATTTCTCTCTCTTTATCCAGCCAGAAAAACTGGTTACCTTTCACTTTCTTTACCTTGTGGACCCATGTCCAGCATATTTATCAAGTACATTCATCTCTTAACTTCATTCATGTGACATGTAGCGTTTTAAAATACAGTTTTAGAATCTGTTCCTTCCTACTTCTACTCTTTCTCTACATGCTCAATCTTGGATATCTGTGGTAGCCAGCTATTTAATTTATATTCTATTAGTTTTTGTATGATATAGTCATCTCAACAGGTTATACATTCCAAGATTCCCTGAAACTTCCTGTGTATAGATGTCATGAAACTCTGTGTATAGCTTGTATTTTCTATTCATATATAATTGTGATAAACCTTAACTCATCAATGAGGAATAGTAAAATGCAATATTGATAAAAAACTCACAACAACATAATATATTGTAATAAAAAGCATGTGAGTGTGTTCTCCAATATGACTTATGGGACTTCTACCTTTTCTTGTAAAGGAAATCACCTTATGGGTTCCCTTTGCTAGCAAAGGGGGCATTTTTTAAGTAAAATCCAGGTCAGTTGAACACCAGTACTGTAACACCAGAATAATAGATTTCAGAGCCAGCATGGCACTTGTATCATATACAACAGGGACACATAGCAGAGGAGGTGGGGCTGGGAAGCTTGTGACCTCACACTATTCAATATGATGATTAGTTTAAAACTTAGGAAGTTTTAGGAAATATCTCTGGAATTTCACTTGATATTTTTTTTAACCAAGGTTGACTAAATAACAGGTCATAAAGCAGAACCACAATAAGAAAGGATTATTACATTGCAAAATTCACATTGTAGACCATTGCTTCACTTTCTTATATAGCCCTCAGAGGTTTTCACTTAGATGTAGATAGAACATACAAATCTTGACATAAAATTAATGTTATAATGTTATAATTAGTTCGTGGCTTACTCTCAGATACCGAAGACTTCCCTCTTTCCTGTAAACAGCCCAACTTTGTATATGATGTTGCTTTTGCTCTCGTGATACAATATAAACTAAGATGGTCTTCTTCATTGTTGTCCTCGTTCAAAGCTATTGAGACCTTTTCACTTCCTCAAATCTCATCCAAGTGTCCTAGCTCCTAAGAATTATTTCTGGCATTGAACTGTTTATTCCCCATGCTCATTTAAGTTTTAGCCAACCATCCTGTCATTCATTTGTCTTATAGATGTATTGTAGTTATTTATCTACCTGTCTCCTCCTTGGGTAAAATACTTGTCCTACACTGCTTGGCGTCTATTACTTTACATACCATACTTATGTAAAGCTTTTAAGATCGGTGCATACAGAGAGATACAAAATATGCACATGGATCTGTTTATAAAACTAGTCTCTGGGTATTCATTGTATCTAACCATAAAGTTTAAATGAGTATTTTCTTAAGGGTCTCTAATTCTTTGGGGCTGATTAGGTGGCTCATTTAGTGAATCAAGGTGCCTATGCCCATTAGTGGCTCCTAGGGCCTCCTTTAGGGGTGAATCCTTTTGAGAATTTTTTTATGGACCAAATATTAATGGTGTTTAAGCCAAGTGGTGGTGGTGTGCACCTTTAATCTCAGCACCTAGGAGGCAGAGTCAGGTGGATCTCTGAGATCAAAGCCAGCCTGGTCTACAGAGGGAGTTCTAGGACAGCCAGGGATACACAGAGAAACCCTGTCTCAAAAAAACAAAAGAAAAAAAAAAAGGAAAAAGAAATAGGTTTTTAGTATGAACATTATCAGTTTGTCTTTTTCTGAAGAAATATTAGGCATAATGTCTGTTTTCCTATACAGATTTTATTTACCCCCATGGTAACTTTTTTTCCAGAATACTTTTAAGGAACATCTGCTTTGGCTAATAATTTCCACTTCTGAGCTTATTTTCATGCCTTGGGGCAGCTCATTACAAGATCGAACACCATTGTGGTCTATTACATTTATCTAACAAATACATTTTAGAATTCTCCACAAGTGAAAACTAGCAACTACATCCTGATCACAACAACTTAAATAATTCTAAAAGTTAAACAGAATAGAATTTGCATTAGGAATTAAAATTTAAATAAACAATGGGATTAAATAAATAAATGTAGAATTAAAGGAGTAATTTGAAACTTAGTACATTTTGAAAAAGGAAAAAGGAAGAATCCAGCCGACGGCAGACTGAGCAGCTGAGCTGTAGTAGCAAGCCTGTTTTTACCTGCTGCTGATTTGAACTGATCCTCATGCTTGCTGCCTATACCACCTATGCTTACCTGGGCTGACCGGCCTGTTCCAGAGAAAGCTCAGCCTCGAAACCGGCACCTGCCCCTTTCCTCATAAAAACAATAAAGTTGGCTTATTAATCGGGTCATTTCAGGATTGTTTAAAACTGCAATCTATGCCTACTTTTTTACATTCAGTTATTTTAGAGAACTTAAGTTAGATTAGATTTGTAAGTTTTCAAAACATATGTTCCATAATAAGGAAATGACCAATAGTATATTATTATTACTAAATATATTTTATGATACTTAATGAGCCAAATATCAAGGTTACTGTGTAACTAAGTAGCATCAAATGATGTTGAAATGGCACCATCCTGTATCTAGAGAAGTGTACATTTATTTTTGTGTAATTTTTAACAGGGAGACTAGAATTAATTTTTTTATCTTTTAAATAGTGATTTTGCTATGAATAAAGTATTATAATGCATAATAAACACTAACACTGGAGTAATTCTAAGATAGTTTTATCATTTCACATAGAGCCATCTGGCAAACAAACATGACTACTCACCTTTTGCTAAGGTAAATCAAGTAAACATACAGTCAACTCTCAATCATTCAGACTGTGGAGGAAAGGATGGAACAAGCATTAAAATTGGTCTAGTTCCTGCCCCCTCAAGCACTGCCAAGACAGCCTCACACCAAAAAAGGCTTTCTTTCTTGATCCTAGTGCATGGTGTAGCTTTTGTTTCCAAGGAGTCAGTAGAAAAGCTCCATGCTGTCATAGTCTGCTCTCTTTGTGTGCATTTATTTATAGTCGCTGCCTTAGCATTGCTTTTATAGTACACATTTCACATGAAGTTGATAAGTTGCTGCTAAGATTCTGATGGCTCATAAAATCAGCTTTATATAAAAGCCTTATCTTCAAATTGCAATTTGTAGATAATTATAACCTTTCAAAAGCATTACCTCATGGTACCAAATTGCTTTTTAAAAATTTTAATACAAAATTTTAATGAGAAAGTTTTTATCTTTGAGAGTCTTTCATAAAAATTCTTCCAACTTTTAAAATTCTAATGTGTGCAATACTTCTGAGTAAAGAAATGCTGAAGGAATTTATGTGTGAAAACAGTATGTTGCATGTACATTATATGTCATTTTCTCTGCCAATTAGCTGCATACACTATACTAGTATCCAGACACATAGATTCATGGGAATGCATGTGTCTGGAGAACTACAAGTTGAAATAAGCACACCTGCCTTTTATTTCAATAACTGCACATTCAAATGAACCTGACATTTATTTGAATGAGACCTTCATATATGTGAGAGAACATTGCTTTCAGCATTGGGGTTTTTTTGTTGTTATGTTTTTGTTGTTGTTTATTTTTAAGTGAAAGGTAGATACTAATGTGAGGCTTCTCTGGACAATTCTGCATGCAGAGAAAAGGAAATTCAAAGATAAACCCCGTCAAGCACAACTGAACTTTGCTGTCTTATATGCTTTCCCCTCGGTGGTACTTTAGCTCGATGCTTGTAAAATGTAGTGATGCTGAAAGCCAAAAGTAGTAAATGCGTGAGTCGACCTGGAGTTGGGCTCTCTTCCCTTTAACTTAATAATGTAATCATCTTTCTTTCCAGATTGGAGTGGTTAGTGTTTCATTTGGAGAATCTAATGGTTATTTTTTTCTCAAAAGCTATTTCCTTAAAATGTGTACCACAGTATATATCTGAGCTTTAGAAAAATCATGCTTTTTCTTAGGAGAGGGAAGTATCTGCTGCAAAGCTCATTTTATAGTATTTTATAGTCTATATCGTGGCTTGTCCACATCCCCTCCTGAATTAGTCCATATTTCTGTATACTTTCTTTTCCTTGTCATGAGCAAGAAAGTAGGATCTCTTCATGAATCTTAACTTTGAATTTCCTACTTTTCATTGCATGCAAATTATCAACTACACATACTAGTTTTAGCTTAGACTCCAGTTTGTATTTTGCATGTTAAAGCTCTAAACATTGTAGTAATGCTGAAAAGAACTAAAGCTATGGTTCTGCAATTGCCTAATTACTAAAATTTATGAATCAAGGCTGAATTTGCTTATGTAGATTTTCTTTCTGCCTTAGGGAGTGAGCTACTTTATGTCCAAGGGTATCCTAGATGATTCGCCAAAGGAAATAGCAAAATTTATCTTCTGTACAAGAACACTAAATTGGAAAAAACTGAGAATCTACCTTGATGAAAGGTAAAGCAAAAATTAAATTTTTATCAGAAATGAGTTGATGTTTTTGTTAACTTTTACTTTAAAAGCTATAGTACATAGTATAATCTAGTTGCAAAATTGAGTAAAAACATAAAAATATATCTTAAAATTGATTTGACTTTTTGTTTCACATGCTAATAAAAACTTGCCACTATAAAGATAACAAATGGCCACGTGTGGCCTGACATAATGCTTGTAAATAGCTGTAATAACAGCACTCAGAAGCTGAGCCAGAAGGATCTGGCCATAGAGTGAGACACTATCTCAGAATCATGAATAGATACAAAATGATAGCCCAGTATTCCTGAGATCGCAAACTAAAATCAAATATCTTTGTCGAAGTTGCAGCCCTGACTTTTCTTAATAGTTAGCCTTGAGCTAAGTGTTTAGGCAAACAAAAGTTCTAAATTCTAAAACTGTCCATTTAAAAATCTATTGTAAAGACCAACTGTAAACTTCAAAACCTAGGGACTCTAAGGGTGCGCATGTAGTTACATAATATTAAAAATCTATTGTAAAGATCAACTGTAAACTTGAAAACCTAGGGACTCTAAGGGCATGCATGTAGTTACATAATATTAAAACTCTATTGTAAAGACCAGTTGTAAACTTCAAAACCTAGGGACTCTAAGGGTGCGCATGTACTTACATAATATCGCACAGATGGTTACACACGTTGAAAAGTCCTGAAATAGTGAAGCTGGAGAGTTGCCTCACTGTTTGTTAAGAGCACTTGTTGCTCCTACAGAGGATCCAGATAAGGGTCCCAGTACCCACATGGTGGCTCACAACCATCTGTAACTCTAGTTCCAGATCAGTTGTCCTCTCCTGTCCTTAGTGGGCACCGTATTATACACATGGTACACAGACAGGCATGCAGACAAAACACCCATACATATAAAAGCAGGTCTAAAAAGATGACATGAAGTATTTCAGTCATGCAGATAGAGGTAATGGGTCATATGGCATTCTCATCTGGTAGTTATTCACTTGTGCCCTTATAGTCTAGTTAATTGCAGGCATAAAAATATTGAGAGAGCATCTACATCAACATACTCGTCATTGAAAGAAAGTCTCGTATGAAAGGTGTTGTTCTTAAACTACTTTGTCTTTAAATGCTGGGGACCTAGAGATTGGTGCTTCTTCTGTAGACCCTTTCTGTAAATATTTAGCTTTGCTGACCTTATGCTCTCTGTTGCATTTGCTTATAACTCTGCCATTTGTGTTGTATAAGTAGACACAGGGCCAACTATAAACAAAGCAGTATGGCCCTATTCCATTAAATCTATTTACAAATACAAGCAGTGGGCCAGAGTTTGCCTACTGGTTGTATTTGCCTAACCCCTGCCATAAGCAATTGGTCAAAATGAAGGCTATGATCATATAATCAAGTTTGAGTTCAGTAACAGTTTAAGAATGTTGTTACAAAGAGTCACTATATATTTAATGCTATAGGTTGAAATAGATAGCATACACGTTTATAATATTATACAATATTTACATAATTATAAACACTTAAATATATATCCATAAAATTATTATACCCATATGTTGGGGTGGTGAGCAGTCACTAAAAAGAATGAAGTGAATCTATTTCTAAAGACAAAACTGTTAACAATAAACTATATCAGGAAGGAAGAGCAGATTATAAAACAGTGTGTAGTCTATGTGGGTGTTTTTTTGAAGTCTACATACATAGCTTTTACCTCTGAAACTGTGTCTAGGTACAATACAGGAAGATCCCTTCTCATTTAAAGGGCATGAGTTCTAGTGTTTGGACTTCGATCAGCAAGCACTTAGAAAGGAGCAGCTGTTCTGTGTCTCCCTGCGGGGAGGTTGGTTGTCTGTGTAGGGCCCGGACTGGCCTTGAACTCCTGATCCTCCTGCCTCAGCTTCGCGAGTGCCACCACACCAGCTGAGCAGCGCTTTCAATACTTAAAACTTTATTTCGAAAGTAGAATTCTGTATTTCACTTCATCTTGTTTTAGCCTATTCATGAAGGAGTTCCAAATATTTTAACTTTGTAAATAATTATATTTAATGGTTTTAAAAGGGTAAGGATAATATATATTTTATTAGGACCAACTGATATAGTAATCAATAATGAAATACTTTTATACAAAAATATCAAATTATGATTTTTCATTTTTTTAGAAATATTAACTATAGCTGCACTCTTTTGTTTCTCTTTCCATAGGAGAGATGTCTTGGATGACCTTGTAACCTTGCATAATTTTAGGAATCAATTCTTGCCAAATGCATTGAGAGAATTTTTCCGTCATATTCATGCTCCTGAAGAACGTGGGGAGTACCTTGAAACTCTTATAACAAAGTTCTCACATAGGTTCTGTGCTTGTAATCCTGACCTAATGCGAGAACTTGGCCTTAGTCCTGGTAAGGATAACTCTGTGTGTGTGTGTGTGTGTGTGTGTGTGTGTGTGTGTGTGTGTGTGTGTGTGTCTGTCTGTCTGTACTCACGTGTGCATGCATGAGTTTTACATTATTTTTCTAACTCCTAGCACCTGCAGGAAAAATAATCATAATATGAGACATTTTTTCACTGGGAGGAAGCATTGTAAATATCTGCTTCACTGTTGCAACAGTGGTGGCATGGATGGAATACTCAGGAGTACACTTACCCCCTTCGCACATAACAAATGCACAGCGTTATGAGGAAAGTTAGACTAACTACATAAACCCTCTAAAGTTATTCTTAGTTGTTATTTTTACCAGCTGATGTAGGGATTTTTTGAAGCTTTCAATAAGCTGTACAATAGATAACAATATTCTCCACTAAAAATTATTTTAATACAACTAGTTTTCACTATGTGTGTACCTATAGAGATGTGTTAGCTCTCAAGTCTCATATGTGCACTCTCATTTTATAGATTTACTTGTATCTTTGTGTTTAAAATTGTACTTATCAAACAATGTTTACAAAACAAAACATGCCTGTCATATAAAATTTGCTGAACCTATTTAATAAGATACAATGTTTAACATAGCTTTCTTAAGACTTCAAGATTCTAATATATAAGTAGTGTAGTACTGAGAACATCATGACAGTTGCTACTGTTGTGATATTAAGCATCAAGTAATTTTTTTTGGGGGGGGGGCGGGGGGTTGAGACAGGGTTTCTCTGTGTAGTTTTGGTGCCTGTCCTAGATCTTGCTCTGTAGACCAGGCTGGCCTCAAACTCACAGAGATCTGCCTAGCTCTGCCTCCTGAGTGCTGAGATTAAAGGCGTGCGCCACCACCGCTCAGCAAGTATTGCCCTCTGATTATATGAAAAAAGAAAATTACTTTGTTACATGTGTTCAGGTATGGCAGTGTTTTCCCTAAAGATTTATATTCGAAGCTCATGTGCAGATTCCACCCACCTTTAAAGTACATCTCTCAAATGAGACTAGTAATTCTTTACATTCTATTTTTAGTGCCAAGATAATACATATCATGTCATTAAAAATATTTTGACATTAAATTAGGTTTTTAAAAAGCATTCTTTATAAATAAATACCTTGATTTTTTTTTATTAAAGAAGGTGATAAGCTGGTGGTAGAATTTAATTCAATTATAGTTGGATATAAATGTCCCATTTGAAAATGAAAATAAAGCAGATTCTGAAATGTTAAGTCTGGAATGCATTTTCACTATAAATTCCTGAAGCATACTGAAGTTCCTTTGAACTGGAGAGAGTGCTTGTGTTGGTAATCAGACTGGATGAGTTCACCTCAGTTTGCCTGGTCCTAGGTAATTTCCCAGTACAGAGCTTTGAAGACTGACCTGGAAGAAAAGCCTAGACTCACAGGGTGTTTTCGCCACCAGCCCTGTGGGATCTTTTGTGATATGAATTTTTGTCTCCTTAACATAAGTGGCTATTTCAAGCGAGCTAATAATTAGTGTGTTTCCTTTACCTTCCAGATGCTGTCTATGTACTGTGCTACTCTTTGATTCTACTTTCCATTGACCTCACTAGTCCTCACGTGAAGAACAAAATGTCAAAAAGAGAATTTATTCGAAATACCCGCCGCGCTGCTCAAAACATTAGTGAAGATTTTGTAGGACACCTTTATGACAACATCTACCTTATCGGCCATGTGGCTGCATAAAAAAAGCACAATTGTTGGGACTTGGCCCTTTTACTGCAGACTAAAGCGACCCAGGAGCGGACTTAGCAGCAGTGGGGTTGCGTCAGTGCTGGCCTCTCCAGCCGCTGTGCACAGTCAAGCTTGAGTGCACAGCCTCTTTTTGTTCCCTCTTTTCTAGGTTAGCGGTTTCAGAACTAACTAATTTTGATGAACTTTTCCTAATTTCGCTCATCATGTTTGCACAAAACAGCCATTGTATCACAGAGCTGTTAGAGAACGTTAAACCGACACATACTCTATAAGATGGGGTGTTTGTGCGCTAGATTTGTCTGAAGACTATCCATGTCCATCCTTTAAAAAATACCATGTAATGTATGCATATTTAACTAAAGAGATTTATAATCGTAATTATTTTATTGTAAAGATTTTAACTAAAGGGTTTCCTTTTCTCTGGAACTGAGTTTGGAAATTCATTTGACTCTAAGTATATTGTTGGCTTTGTCAAAGTTGGGTCTGACCCTGGAAACCAATACCAGCTTCCCATTTCTTTGAACTTTGAAAAGAGTATTGATTTGTTACTATATTAATATACTATGCAAAACTGGCCTTATTTGTATAACACATATCATTTGATTCATTTTTAAAACTTCTGGGTTAATAAAGTTTCAATACATCCTTTCAACATTTAGAATATAAAAAAGTGTCAGAATTTAAAAGTCACACTTCATTAGAACTTGGGGAAGTCTTTACTTCCTTGTTTCTGAACTACTTGATCTTGACTATTTTCCTAATCTCGGTCTATCTTCAGAGTTAATAAAAGAATACTATGTTGTGAATCACACTATACACTCTTTGATCTTCAGATGTGTATCACGGGCTGTCCATGTGCTGAGTACTGTGCTAGGTTACAGTAGTGATGCCTAGACATGAGGTCTGTATCAAAAGATGGCACATGCTTGTGCAATACAAGGAAAACTGTAGATTTTTTTTCTCTAGTTAGTTATTTTTAGGTGAATGATGCATTGATCTCTCCCTCTGTCTATCTTCCCCCCGCTTATAGATGTCTCTGATATCTCCCTGCCTCTCCATCTCCTCCCTTTTCTCAATTTGACTTTCTTTTAAGCCTTCATTTCCCTATTGTTTTCTTTTTCTTTTTTTTTTGATTTTTACACTCTGCCTCCTTTTTTTTCAATATAATTTTCTTATGGAAATATTGAAACAGAAAATTGAAACATCTTACAGAGAAAGCCTGCACACCCCACCCGTTATTCTACAATTCCAATTTCATTCTGTTCACTTTATCATTTATTTATCCGTCCCTCCATCCATCAGCTGATCTTAATGATTTTAAACATATCAGGATTAGCTTCAAATATATATATTCTTTGTTGCTGAACACTCAAATTTATATATCATTGACTAGAGGGCTACATTTCTAGCCTTTTTTCACTTTGAGGTAAAATTTACAATCAAGGAAATGTAAAAGTATTATGTGACTCTTTACAAATGCTGATCCTGTGCAAATTAAATTGATATGTCAGTTATATGAAGTTTCTTAACTAGTTAATATTATACCATTTCATGTGAAATATTCTCTACCCACAATCTTAGAGTTATATGTTATAATAAAATCCAAAGTCTTTTATTTTTAACAAGCATTTTCACTTTAAACAAGGTAAGAAAAAAATAATCTTTTATGTTTACTGATAATATAATTTTAAATACTCTTATTCTTCTGTGAAACTCCAAACCCTTTTTACAGTATTTTTCTTCTCAAAATGAGAGCATCTATTGTAGTTGGGGTCAATTAATTAGCATAGTTTTATTTGATTATTTGTTGTTATTTTATTGAAAATAGATTCTTCTCTATTCATACAATGCATCCTGACCATAGTTTCCCCTTCCTCCATCCTTTCAGCTTTTCCCCACCTCCTCGCTCCCCTAAATCCACTCCCCCTTCTGCTTCCTCTTCAGAAAAGAGCAGACCTCCAAGAGACGAGAGCCAAACAGGACAAAACAAGATACAGTAAGTCAAGGCAAAAGCCCTATCATGACTGGATAAGGGAACCCAAGAGGAGGAAAAGAGTCTCAAGAGCAGGCAAAAGAGTCAGAGGCAGCACATGTCCTATACTGCCTGGATGGCCAGGAACTGGAGACTGGATAGCCCAGAGACCTAGAGTAGAACTGAATACAACTGGTTAAAAAAATCAATGACTTCTAATGACATACAGATCAGTGCATTGTCCAGTCATCATCAGAGGGTCTTCCTCCAGCAGCAGAAGGGAATGAGTGCAAACACCCACAACCAGACATTATGCAGAGAGAGACTCTAAATTGGAGGTCTCCCTCAGGTCGGCCCTCCCTTTAGAGCCGGAGGGGTTGAGGCCATGAGGAGAACATGGCCCACCAAATCAACTAAGCAGGCCTCACCTCACATGGGTTCACAGAGACTGAAGTGGTAGGCAGGGGACCTGCAAGGGTCTGCACCAAGTCCTCCAAATATATGTTATGGCTGCTAGCTTGGTGTTTCTGTGGGACTCATACTTTTATTTGAAAATATCTTTCTTTTTGAAGAAATTTTTGCTGAATATTCAATTCTACTTTTTTTTTTTTTTTTTTTTTTTGGTTTTTCGAGACAAGGTTTCTCTGTGTAGCTTTGCGCCTTTCCTGGAACTCACTTGGTAGCCCAGGCTGGCCTCGAACTCACAGAGATCCGCCTGGCTCTGCCTCCCGAGTGCTGGGATTAAAGGAGTGCGCCACCACCGCCCGGCCTCAATTCTACTTTTCACATCTTTCCCCTTTATGCACTCAACCCAGCCCCTTTAGGGAATGATTTAATTTTTTGGCTTATGGTTTAGGGATGATAGTTCAGCAAGGAAGGCATGACAACTGGGTCCAGCTTGGTCCAAGGTGGTGAGAGTTTTCAGAGGAGGTGGGAGCATATGACATACTCCCTTTACATATCTGCACATTAGAAAGCAGATCTTTGCAGAAGCAAGGCCAGGCTATAATGTAAAATCCGCTCCCAAGGATTAATTTCTGTCAGCCAACCTTGTTCCTTAAGGTTCCACAGCCTTCCAAAACAGCACCATTATCTGGGGACCAAGTATTCCAGCACATGAGCCTGTTGGGGACATTCCTACTCAAACTATAACAGCCCTTTTGACCCCATAAAATTATAGCCATCTCAATGCAAAAAAAAAAAAAAAAAAAAAAAAAAAATGCTTCAAAAATCCAAACCTCAGGCTCTTCTGGGCTTAAAGCAACCTACTTAATGATGAGCTGTAAAAGAAATTGCTAACCACCAAATGTCACGTGTTTCAAATATGCAGTGCCATATAGAATCCCATTCCAAAAGAGAGGGGTGTGGACAAAGCAAGGAAAGATTGGAACGAAGAGGATCAGAAGCCAGCAGGAAGAGCCACAAACTCCACCTGTCTGGGTTCTGGACTGGAACTCCTGATGGCATCCTTTAGGCTCCAGCAGGCTGGTATAATCTTACTAGCCCAGCTCTGCCCCCTGCAGTGTACATGACCTCCTTCTTAGACCAGCTGCACTCAGTCCCTCCAGCTGTCCCTGGAAGACATCCATTTTTCTGACGTTTCCAGTTTACTGAGGACTGTGTTGTAAGTTACTGATAGATTTCAGCTTCAGCGTCATGCTTCATTCAGAATGTCCAGTCAGGGAAACTCCCTGCTACACCCTGCCTGGCAACAGCAACTTTCTAGTACCTTGGCGTAAGCCTCAGTGTTCCCGTAACCCCTGCCAACATTAATGTCAATAATGACCCCAAGTTCAACTGCCAGCTCAAGATGGACCATGGACCACTTGGACCACAGGTGATGTAGTTTCTGTGTGCCATTCTGACGGAACCTGGGAAATCACTTGCCCAGGCAGGCCAGCTCTGTACCCTGGAGGTTCTCGCCTACCTAGACGCTCTCAAATGGGTTTCTGTTTTTTACACCCTGGGGGGTCGGCAGGTGGTGTGCAGAGTCTTCCTTTCACGGCACCATTCAGATTGTCACAGTGTAGTGTAGGCGCATTCTAGGCCACCAATCACCACCACAGTTTCCAAAGTTTCTCTTTAATGGCCCTAGTTTCTTTAATTGTTACTGCACCTTTTCCTCAGCCACTTTTCTTGCCCAAATGTACATTTCCCCCATTTTTCTTCTGCCTTTCACTGTAAATCTAGTTAAGAGCAGACTCTAGAACCATACCACGACCTAAATGTTGTGCTATCTTCAAATTTCCTCTGCCTAAAAAAGTTGGCCTATTTTTTTTTTTTTCTGAGACAGAGTTTCTCTGTGTAGCTTTGGAGCCTGTACTGGATCTCACTCTCTGTCCCAGGCTGGCCTCAAACTCACAGAGATCCACCTGCCTCTGCCTCCCAAGTGCTGGGATTAAAGACATACGCCACCCACCCGGCTTAGCTTATTATTGTAAAATGCATCTTCGCTTATTTTAAAGACACAGACAGAATGTGCCAGTTGCTTTTCCAGACTGCCCCGTGGCTGGCTTATGTTTCTGTCTCTGCTCCTCTCTGAAGCCCCGCACCCCCAGTATTGGCTGTATATACTTATGTCGTCATTCTGACCTCATTTCCTGTCGAATGGCCCAATAAGCTCAGACTATAGCGCTTCAGGGCTTCTCTAGTCTGCCGTTCCTAACTTTTCCACATTCCTTCCAAAACACAATTCCAGACTGATGATCCATGTGGTCACATTTGCCCAGCATCAGCTGCCATTCTTGTCATCTATAAATATTTGTTACTTTTCTTGTTGCTGGACAAAATAACTGTGTGTGTGTGTTCATGTGCATGCCTTGTCATGGTGTAGAGATCAGAGGGCCTGTGACCTCCCCACACACAAATAAATAAGATATTTAACAAAAATAATGGTGGGGGTCTGGAGTGATGGCTCAGCAGTGAATAGTACTGGCTGCTTTTCTGAGGATCCAGGTTCGATTCCCAGCACCCATGTGACAGTTCACACAGTCTGTAACCAAGTTCTAGGGGCTCCAACACCCTCTTGCCTCTGCAGACAGCCAGCACTCAAGTGGTACATGGACATACATGCAGCTAAACACCCATACACATAAAATAGAAAACTAAAATTGAGGAACAATTTTAAATTTTGGATTAAAAGGAGGGTAGAAAAAGAAAACCAAAACTTTAGAAAGACTAGAGGAAAATGATATCCCAAGCGCTAGGGAAGAAGAGTATCCAAAAGGGTACTGAGGGCTGGGGGTATACTTCACTGGAGGAGGACTTGTGTAATGTGTAAGGCCATGGGTTCAATTCCCACCCCTTCTCTTCTCCAAAAGGATGCTGAGCTTGACACTTACTGCATAATCTACACTTAAATTATTCCATTCTCTTTTCAGGCTTCTCGACTCTCTTTCCACCTGGGGCTGAATTCTATGAGGCTAGAAAGTCACAGTACTGCTAATGGCTTTTATATTGTCACTAAATAATTATTCCCTGACCCAAATATGTAATCGGACCTCTGCTGAAACCCACAAGAGTGCTTCTCTGCCTGTCTACAATTTCCTTCCCCGGTAAGGGCTGGGTTATCTCAAGCCTACAATGTCCAAGTGGGCAAATTCTTATATACAATCACAAGTCATGTTTTCTATGTACAAGTTGTATTTGGAAAGAAAAGAAAAAGAAAGACAAAGGAAAGGAGAGAAGGAGGAAAGATGGGAAGTGAAAAACAGGATAGAGCAGGAAAAGATGAAAAGTAAGAAGAAAGAGAACGGGGCAAAGGAAAAGAGAAAGGAGGAGAGAGAAAGAGGCAGAAGAAAGTGCTTAAAATAGTTTCAGTCTCCTCCAACTGGGTCACCAAA